AAGTCTCGAGGAAGTTCAGTGAAGCAAACAGTGGCGTAGGAGAAGCGGGCTCTATACAGAGGTACAAAAATAGATATATCGGATAGTTCACATCAGTCTGGGCCAAGTTAAGAGGCGGAGCCAAGAGCTAGAGTTCACCCTCTTGCCGTTCTCCATGCTCCAATGGGCAATTTTACATGAGTGAAAAGATGGAAAGAATATCTAGATAAACTGAAACATAAGTAAGAGAGATGTGTAGGTTTTGCTCTCAGACACTTATAATACAAATGCTCTACCATTGTTTCAAGTTTCTACCTAAGTACGTTCTTACAGTCCAAGATCTTAATATAATTCTTTTTACCTGTGTCTCGAATATCTGCCAAGTGACTCCTCCACTGTTCAGCGCTCATTGTTTATCATAATTAAATCCAAGAATAAATGGTAACTGCTCTTGGACACGCCCTGACACAGTAATCACGCCCATTATTATTATAATCAAGGGGGAAGCACTAAACCCGTAGGATTATACAGCGCCTATGGGGGGATGGAAGGCATTCAGGCTTAATTCAGGGAACTGGAGCACAGATCCAATTCCCTAGATCAAGAGCCCCTCACCAGCGTCAAGGAGCCTTCCTTGAGGGGAGTAATCACGCCCAGACTAACACTTCCGGACAGTGTCTGTAAAGTGGGAATCACGAATACAAATGCATGTCTCTTGTGCAGGATAAAGACCATTGTGTGGGTTCCCCGCTTGTGTGGCACTGAAGGAAGTCACAGAGAGAGACTGCCAGGGGAATCACAGAGACTGCCATGGGAATCACAGAGACTGCCATGGGAATCATAGAGAGACTGCCATGGTAATCACAGAGAGACTGCCATGGTAATCACAGAGATATTGCCATGGGAATCACAGAGACTGCCATGGGAATCACAGAGACTGCCATGGGAATCACAGAGACTGCCGTGGGAATCACAGAGACTGCCATGGGAATCACAGAGTGAGACTGCCATGGGAATCACAGAGACTGCCATGGGAATCACAGAGACTGCCAGGGGGATCACAGAGAGACTGCCATGGGAATCACAGAGACTGCCATGGGAATCACAGAGTGAGACTGCCATGGGAATCACAGAGAGACTGCCATGGGAATCACAGAGACTGCCATGGGAATCACAGAGAGACTGCCATGGGAATCACAGAGACTGCCAGGGGAATCACAGAGTGAGACTGCCATGGGAATCACAGAGACTGCCAGGGGAATCACAGAGACTGCCATGGGAATCACAGACTGCCATGGGAATCACAGAGAGACTGCCATGGGAATCACAGAGACTGCCATGGGAATCACAGACTGCCAGGGGAATCACAGAGAGACTGCCATGGGAATCAGGGAGAAACTGCCAAGGAAATAACAGGGAGAGACTGCCACACTTTACGGTGTTGTATTGGGCCAGGTGTGGCGGCTGGCGGAAGCTGCTGAGACTGGAGCATTACCTGGTGTTGTCTCGAGAGTGAGGCTGGTGGTGGCGTGCTTCCGGACCTTTTATGCTTCCTCCTCCCCCTTCCTTCCCCACATGTCCATCCTAGCCAGTTAACTCTTCTTACCACAGTATATCATATAGCGTAATATAACAGCCCACAACTGTTATTGTAACTATGTAACTATATAGCGTAAGGTAACAACACAACTGTTATTGTAACTATGTAACTATATAGCGTAAGCTAACAACACAACTATTATTGTAACTATGTAACTATATAGCGTAAGGTAACAACACACCTGTTATTGTAACTATATAACTATCGTATGGCGTAGGGTAATAGCCCACAGCGATGACAACCTCTCTTAAAACAAAAGTGTTAGAAAATTACAAATTACAGTTTTCCCTGTGTGGGATAGATCATTGTAAGGAATGATAATTCCCAAGTAGTAGTAAGTGTAGCTCTGCTGGAGGTACTCTCCCCTTCCTTGGCTCACATGACTCACACTGAAAATTAAAAAAAAAAATGATTGAATACGGGACACCACGGGCAAAGTTGTGCTCCTGTAGATACAAACATGTAATTACAGGTTTAACGCTATCCCGCGTGGGAAGTACAGTATTACGAACACAGCAATTCAAGGCCTGTTGCACCTGGCCGTAAACAGACGTAAGCAAACGCGCAAGACAAGGGCAAGGCAAACACAGAAAGGGTAGTTTTTTTCTACCTACATATTCTTTCATCACTATGTATAATATTTACACAGCAAGATATTAAGTTAGCAGTATAGTGATAAGAAGAGCCACTTAAAGCGAGAGTAGATTTGACCAGTGTCTGCCTCCCAGTCAGGCAGGCAAGTGTGACGTCACCTTGGTTGGGGAGCCAGCTCTCACTTGATTGGTAGAGTGAACTGGACAACTAATACAGCAGTGGGGTCCCAGAACTGCTATACAGTAAGTCCTCACATATTGTCGTCAGTAGGTTCTTGGAAACTGCGACTTTAAGCGAAACGACGTATAACGAAACCACACCTCAATGTCCATACCTCTTTAAAACTTCTAGTTTTGTTTCTGTTACTTTTTCTCTGTTTTGTGGCCACAGGCATCACAGGTGCACATTGCATCTTTAGCATTCACTGCATAAGGTTTAAATCAAGGAATAAATGTTTGCAAGTGAAAATTGTGAGGATCACCTCCTACCACCAGGCAGTTCAAAAACAAACAATAAATATGGCGGCTCGATGAGCGCTTTCCTTACCACATCCTTTTTTGTCGGGCATTTGCATGGTTATCGTATGCTTTACGAATTTTCACTTTACAGTAATTTGTATTCATTCTATTCATTCGATTTTTTCTCATCGACGTTTAACGAAACGACGTTATTCGAAGACCTGCTGTACTCTAAATTGCCAGTTGACTGGTGGGGAGGGCATGCCAGTGGGTGTGTAATAAACGCCGAATGAAGTGTAACATAGGACACGCCACATACAATGCCAGCACTCTGAAGGACAGGTAACGACGTTGCATTTGGGAGGGTCATTCGAAATGTGGTGTGCGCGCTTCTGGCAAGACAGCTGTTGAATACCGTTGAATGAGTTTCATTTTTTGTGGGGGGGGGGTCACGCTACCTCACTGGGAGACGGGTGGGGGGGGGTCACGCTACCTCACTGGGAGACGGGCGATGTGGTAAAAAAAGGAGTTTCAATCCTTTGTGTTTTATATGAGTGTGGGTATGTGAGGCAAGTGTGACCCAGAGTGACCTGGGTTGGACGTGCATGCCGTGTGACCTGGTTTATGGTGTCTTTGTGAGTGTGGCGTCGTCACCGGGTTACACGAGAAGGATCACTAGGTCACCTCTTGGACTCCCAGTGTTGAGTAATGAAGCTACACGACGATACCAGTGCTGTACCATACTCTGACGCTTTTACTCAACCACCTACACTGACGCCCCACCACACACACACACACACACACACACACACACACACACACACACACACACACACACACACACACACACACCTTACCTAGTAGCGATCAGTGAAGAGGCGGGGCCAGGAGCTCGGACTCGACCCCCGCAACCTCAACTAGGTGAGTACACACACACACACACACACACACACACACACACACACACACACACACACACACACACACACACACACATACACACAGACACACACATACACACACACACACACACACACACACACACACACACACACACACACACACACACACACACACACACACACACACACCTGTCGGTTCAGAGAACCGACAGAATGACGAATTCGACACTTGTGCTACACTTGGGTATCCTTATTGTGGAAACATTTCGCCACACAGTGGATTTCTCAGTCCATTCTTCTCTGTATTGGACCGAGGAAGCCACTGATTGGCGAAACGTTGCCACAATAAAGATGCACAAGTGTCTAATATATCACACAGACACACACATACACATTCATTAGGGCGGAATGAGGTGAGGGGGGGGGGGAGGTAGACAGAAAGTGATAGAAACGAGTGGCCCGTCTTTGTTTTGCAGGTCCCAACGACCATTATAAACCTCAAGAGTAGCGATATATTGAGGCCTGGTCATAGACCCGGTCGCGGGGGCGTTGACCCCCGAAACAGCGTCCAGGTATATCCCTGCCATTCACTACCAGTGGTGGGTCATTACCAGGGCAGGTGATGCAGACAGCCTCGCCTCATATACACACAGTTGAGCCAGCATGTCAGTCATGCTACACCCACAACACTAATGCTGAATTTAAACTCTTTCTCTTGTTTAGCTCCTCATGTTAGTCACTGTAATAAGAGTGACTACATCAACGACATACTTGTCAAGCTTATGATATTTCAGTGTGTGATGCCAGGAGTTAAAACTTGGCCCCTGCGACCACTTATAGGTTAGTACGCTTGTGTTACAAGTGCTGTGTGGTGACATTTGTGTTACAAGTGTTGTGTGGTGACGCTTGTGTCGTAAATAAGTTCTTAGGGAAACAGTGACATATACAACAACAAAAATCTGTAAATAATGTATATCCAAATGTGCTCCTATTAATCCTTTTAATAGCTAGTTCCTAAGTCTTTTGTACATTGTATGCTTCTGTGTGCTACCCTCCACAGGATATATTGGGTGCATAATAAAGTACAGTCTACCCTCCATTGACTAGATATGGGATGCGTAATAAACTAGTTGCAACCATCCACAGGATGGGTATGGGGCCCTTATATAATAATCTAACCTACACTTTCCGTAGGATAGATATGGGATGGATAATAAAGTAACCGCTACCGTCCACTGGATGAATATTGGGTGCACACTAAGCTAGTCATTACCGTCCATGGATATGATAGGGGTTACACGATAAATTAGCCGCTTTGGCGGCAAAATCTAAATCTTAAGTAGGATTTTCGCCCAAACACTTAAACCACTGCCAAATACAGGAGCCTCTTACTACATCACTTGAATTGTTGACACAATTTGTAGAAATCATAAATTCGAGATTAACAAGTGGTTTATTTCGTTGCAGATGTGAGAGGACATGCAGAGTCGTCAGTACCTACAGGTAAGGTACATTATATAACACTAGGGAAGTACTGGGTAGGTCTGCTGGCCCATGTTTGGTATAAAATACCGACAAGTTGAAGATTAAGGCACATGTGCAACAGTTGAGTATCTTTATTGATGCAACGTTTTGCCTACACAATAGGCTTCTTCAGTCAAATACAAAGGGAGCAGTAGTAAAGATGATGTAATCATTCCATCAACATTGGAGAAAAAGTATTTGAGGTGGTCAGTCCCTCAGCCTGGAGGAGAGTTCAGCTCCATATCGTTGCAGACCATGGACTTGAACTCTTCTCCAGGCTGAGGGACCGACAACCTCAAATACTTTTTCTCCAGTGTTGATGGACTGATTAAAATCTTTATTTTATTACTACTGCTTTCTTTGTATTTGACTGAAGAAGTCTGTTGTGTAGGCGAAACGTTTCATCAATAAAGATACTCAACTGTTGCACATGTGTCTCAATCCTCAAGTCCTGCTTATACATAAGAACGATAAATATGACACATGTGCAAGGGAAATACATTTCCTGGGCAGCAGGTTTTCCATGTCACACAGAGTCGTGAGGATGGGGACTCATATTTGAACCAGAGGAGAGGTGCAGCACTCGTAGATATCATCACATGTGGGCGGGGCCAACTAGTAAAAGTAGTTGGGGACCTATTAAGTGAGTCACAGAGTTAGCAATGGAGTTGTAGATGTGGAGAAAGACAGTAGTAGAAGAGGCAATTAAAAATGGACGGGACCCACTCATGGAAATGGGCCATTTGTGAGGAAATGGTTTGGTGATACCGACAAGATGTGGAAAAAGACACTTATGTATAATTCATGACATTTATTAAAGGAAACGTTTCGCCACGAGTGGCTTCTTCAGTCCTAATACAGAGAAAACTAAGAAAATGCGTATATATAGTGGGAGGAGTCAGGTGAAGTGTGTGGGTAGAGGTGATGGTGGTGGTAGTAGTAGTAGTGGAACTAAGGTGGTGAGATGGATGGCTAGAGAGGGACCTGTTAACATCATGTAACAGCAGTTTCCAGAATGGGTAATATCCTGTTGATTAGCAATTTTGAGATATTGTAACTACCGGATTTTTGCTTTATACTGTTACTGACAGCAATCAGGGCAGCTTCTATGCATTTTCTCCGTCTTAAGTCGTCTTCTTTAATCACTAGTTTAGCTTCACTGAATTTCATGAGGTGTCCAACATCGTCCCTATGTTGAACACATGCGTTTTTGCGGTCATCATTTCTGCAAGCATTTTTGTGTTCGGTGATTCTAATGTCCAGAGATCTGGCTGTTTCCCCCACATATACTTTGTCACCCCCCCCCCCACACATGGCATAGTGTAAATTCCTGCACTTGTGCCAGAATCATGCTTGGGTTTTTGTATCAGGTTCCTAATAGTAGTTGAAGAGATGGTAGTTATTTTAGAACGTTAGTAGCAACGTTGCTGTCCGGTAAAACGATGTAACTTGAAGGTTTTTCTTCAGCTTGATTGGTGTTGGTCTTGTTGAGGATACGCACATTTCCTGCAGTCACGTATGAAGTGTAGGGGAAAGTGTAGTGAACTGAAAGAATTGGCTATGAATGTGCATTCTTCTTCGAGGGACTGCGGACTGGAAATTCTGTAGGCTCTCAGAAAGAAGCCAATAACTACCCGTCTTTTAGCTCTGGTGTCATGGTGAGAGAATACATGTAGAAGATTGTTCTTGTAGGTAGGTTTCCGGTAGACCTTAAAAAGTCTGTTTTCACCAGTGAGTAGGAGAACGTCGAGAAAAGGTAATTGATTGTCCTTCTCCTCCTTTAGTGTAAATTCAATAGTAGGTTCCAGAATGTTGATGGTGTTGAGGATTTCACGTACGTCTAGATTTTTGGGTACAATGACCAAAATATCATCATCGTACCGCATCCATGTAACTGAACTAGGGATGTTACTGAGGATCCATCTGGATTCTAGTTCAAGAGCTGCACTAAGGGGAGATCCCATGGCTAGCCCGAACAGTTGTTTATACTTCTTGTCTTTAAACCTAAAACAGTTGTAACGAACACAAAGTTCGACAAGGCTCACAAAATCTTGGCGGGGTACAGGTAACTCTGCATCATCGTTAATCACTCTGCGAAGAAGATCAATGGCTTGATCAACTGGGACATTGGTGAATAAGGCAGTCACGTCGAAACTTGCAAGCTTCTTATCACTCATGTCGAGATCCTTGACACGGTTAAGGAGGTCACCCGAATGCTTTTCAGGTGAGCCTGACTAATTGTACCCAAGAGTTTAGATAAATATTTCGCCAAAGCTCCTGCCAGGCTGTGTGGGGCGCTGCCAATTCCAGATGTAATAGGTCTCATAGGCACATTTGGTTTGTGGGTCTTCGGTAAACCATAAAGCCTTGTTGACTTGGAGTTGGTAGGGACGAGGCGCAAGAGCTTTTTTGCCTTCAGATTTCCTGAGTATGCAGCTGGTCTTACTGAGAAAGGAATCTGTTTCATTCTTCCCTGTATGCTCGGGGATGGAAGCGTATGTGTTGGGGTCGTTTAATAAATCTTGCATATTACTAACGTAGTCTGTACTGTTAAGGATGACCACTCTTCCTTTGTCCGCTGTGGTGATGAGAATATCACTATTAGTGGCCATGTTGTTGAGTGCCTGGATGTAGCGGCGTGGAATGACTGGACGACTAAGTTCAGAAATCGCAGCTGCAGTAAGTCCTTGTATGAAACCTTTGTTAAATTCAGAGTCACCGAAGTCGTGGTTTTTATCACTGTATCTAACTCGTATTTAGGCTTCCGTATGCCAGTAGCAAACTTGAAACTTAGGACGCTGTATCACTGAGAACATAAGAAGAAAGGTTATTGAGGATGTCAGCTCTGCCAATGTCTTTCCATTTGCTGTGTTGACGGAGAGAGGAAAGTTTTCTTGAGAGCCGTAGTTTCTGCTGTAGGTTGGCGGTGGTAACTTTGCTTAGGATGTGTTCGGGGGTGCGTCTGTCAGGAACGGGAAGGGAAGTGAGAACTAGGTGAGCACTATGGAAAAAATCTTTGTGGTAAGTAGCAAGAGATAAGGGATGTTTAGAATCCGTGAGATGGTGCTGAGTGGATCTAGGTGCGACCATTTCATCGATGCAGTCGTGCAGAAAGGAAGAACGGTTCTTTTGCTTTATAGTGTTACTGACAGCAATTAAGGCAGCTTCTATGCATTTTCTCCGTCTTAAGTCGTCTTCTTTAATCACTAGTTTACCCTCACTAAATTTCATGAGGTGTCCAACAACGTCCCTATGTTGAACACACGCGATTTTATGGTCATCATTTCTGCAAGCATTTTTGTGTTCTGTGATCCTAAGAATGCACATACATCACCAATTCTTTTAATTCACTACACTTTCCCCAACACTTCATACGTGACTGCAGGAAACAAGACCAACACCAATCAAGTTGAAGAAAGGCCTCCAAGTTACATCGTTTTCCCAGTCAGCAACGTTGCTACTAACGTTTCAAAAATGTTTGACAGAAAACTGGCTAAAATATCTACCACCTCTTCAACTACTATTAGGAACCTGATACAAAACCCCAAGCATGATTCTGGCACTAGTGCAAGAATTTACACTATACCATGTGTGGGGGGGGTGACAAAGTATATGTGGGGGAAACAGCCAGATCTCTGGACATTAGGATCACCGAACACAAAAATGATTGCAGAAACGATGACCGCAAAAACGCATGTGTTCAACATAGGGACGATGTTGGACACCTCATGAAATTCAGTGAAGCTAAACTAGTGATTAAAGAAGACGACTTAAGACGGAGAAAATGCATAGAAGATGCACTAATTGCTGTCAGTAACACTATAAAGCAAAAGTCCGGTAGTTACAGTATCTTAAAATTGCTAATCAACAAGATATTACCCATTCTGGAAACTGCTGTTACATGTTGTTAACAGGTCCCTCTCTAGCTATCCATCTCACCTCCTTAGTTCCACTACTACTACTACTACCACCTCTACCCACACGACACTTCACCTGACTCCTGCCACTATATATACGCATTTTCTTAGTTTTCTTTGTATTAGGACTGAAGAAGCCACTCTTGGGTCATTTATCTTATCAATATAATTGTGCAGAATACAGGAAGCTGCAACATCTCTTAAAGTTTTGCCTAAATTAATTTTAATGTCTCAGGACATAGTTATCTTCTGATATTAACTGTCTTGTGCGCCTCTCCTACACTACAACTGACCTCCACTCTACTCTATATTGTAGTGCTCTGGCTCTCTTTTACATTAATAAAGCCGTTGGTGTACAAAACGTTTTCGTATTGAAGTTATTGAACATGGCATGAGTGTCTTATACATTTGTTTGTAACATATATATATATATATATATATATATATATATATATATATATATATATATATATATATATATATATATATATATATATATATATATATATATATATATATATATATGCAAAACAACCACTGTGAAAGAATAGAGAAATTCCAAGCGCTTTCGTGACTACTCACATTATCAAGGAACTATGAAAGTAAAGCATCCAAGGAAGCTATATAAGGGGATGCTTTACTTTCATAGTTCCTTGATAATGTGAGTAGTCACGAAGGCGCTTGGAATTTCTCTATTCTTTCAGAGTGGTTGTTTTGCATATTCTGAAATCACCTGTTTGCTGTGATCTTATTGCATATATATATATATATATATATATATTATATATATATATATATTATATATATATATATATATATATATATATATATATATATATATATATATATGTGACAATTTTTTTTATTCTTTGTATTTTTTTTCTCGTTGAATTGCATCTGTCACTTTGCAGACCACGACAGTAACCTGTCCGGAACACCCGGTGTTAACTGATAACTGGGCAAATACTGCAAGGACATTGCAGTTACATTTATTGATAACTGGAACCATTTCTGAGGCAGAAATGACATACATTCCAGGGATGGGATGCATTTGTTTAGGGG